CACAAGCAGTACATGTGGGATCCTAGAATCACAAGCAGTACATGTGGGATCCTAGAATCACAAGCAGTACATGTGGGATCCTAGAATCACAAGCAGTACATGTGGGATCCTAGAATCACAAGCAGTACATGTGGGATCCTAGAATAGCAAGCAGTACATGTGGGATCCTAGAATCACAAGCAGTACATGTGGGATCCTAGAATCACAAGCAGTTCATGTGGGATCCTAGAATCACAAGCAGTACATGTGGGATCCTAGAATCACAAGCAGTACATGTGGGATCCTAGAATCACAAGCAGTACATGTGGGATCCTAGAATCACAAGCAGTACATGTGGGATCCTAGAATCACAAGCAGTACATGTGGGATCCTAGAATCACAAGCAGTACATGTGGGATCCTAGAATCACAAGCAGTACATGTGGGATCCTAGAATCACAAGCAGTACATGTGGGATCCTAGAATCACAAGCAGTACATGTGGGATCCTAGAATCACAAGTGGGATCCTAGAATGGGATCCTAGAATCACAGCAAGCAGTTCATGTGGGATCCTAGAATCACAAGCAGTACATGTGGGATCCTAGAATCACAAGCAGTACATGTGGGATCCTAGAATCACAAGCAGTACATGTGGGATCCTAGAATCACAAGCAGTACATGTGGGATCCTAGAATCACAAGCAGTACATGTGGGATCCTAGAATCACAAGCAGTACATGTGGGATCCTAGAATCACAAGCAGTACATGTGGGATCCTAGAATCACAAGCAGTACATGTGGGATCCTAGAATCACAAGCAGTACATGTGGGATCCTAGAATCACAAGCAGTACATGTGGGATCCTAGAATCACAAGCAGTACATGTGGGATCCTAGAATCACAAGCAGTACATGTGGGATCCTAGAATCACAAGCAGTACATGTGGGATCCTAGAATCACAAGCAGTACATGTGGGATCCTAGAATCACAAGCAGTACATGTGGGATCCTAGAATCACAAGCAGTACATGTGGGATCCTAGAATCACAAGCAGTACATGTGGGATCCTAGAATAGCAAGCAGTACATGTGGGATCCTAGAATCACAAGCAGTACATGTGGGATCCTAGAATCACAAGCAGTACATGTGGGATCCTAGAATCACAAGCAGTACATGTGGGATCCTAGAATCACAAGCAGTACATGTGGGATCCTAGAATCACAAGCAGTACATGTGGGATCCTAGAATCACAAGCAGTACATGTGGGATCCTAGAATCACAAGCAGTACATGTGGGATCCTAGAATCACAAGCAGTACATGTGGGATCCTAGTCACAAGCATACATGTGGGATCCTAGAATCACAAGCAGTACATGTGGGATCCTAGAATAGCAAGCAGTACATGTGGGATCCTAGAATAGCAAGCAGTACATGTGGGATCCTAGAATAGCAAGCAGTACATGTGGGATCCTAGAATCACAAGCAGTACATGTGGGATCCTAGAATCACAAGCAGTACATGTGGGATCCTAGAATCACAAGCAGTACATGTGGGATCCTAGAATCACAAGCAGTTCATGTGGGATCCTAGAATCACAAGCAGTACATGTGGGATCCTAGAATCAAGCAGTACATGTGGGCAATCACAAGCAGTACATGTGGGATCCTAGAATCACAAGCAGTACATGTGGGATCCTAGAATCACAAGCAGTACATGTGGGATCCTAGAATCACAAGCAGTACATGTGGGATCCTAGAATCACAAGCAGTACATGTGGGATCCTAGAATCACAAGCAGTACATGTGGGATCCTAGAATCACAAGCAGTACATGTGGGATCCTAGAATCACAAGCAGTACATGTGGGATCCTAGAATCACAAGCAGTACATGTGGGATCCTAGAATCACAAGCAGTACATGTGGGATCCTAGAATCACAAGCAGTACATGTGGGATCCTAGAATCACAAGCAGTACATGTGGGATCCTAGAATAGCAAGCAGTACATGTGGGATCCTAGAATAGCAAGCAGTACATGTGGGATCCTAGAATCACAAGCAGTACATGTGGGATCCTAGAATCACAAGCAGTACATGTGGGATCCTAGAATAGCAAGCAGTACATGTGGGATCCTAGAATCACAAGCAGTACATGTGGGATCCTAGAATAAGGCACATGTGGGATCCTAGAATCATGTGGGATCCTAGAATAGCAAGCAGTACATGTGGGATCCTAGAATCACAAGCAGTACATGTGGGATCCTAGAATCACAAGCAGTACATGTGGGATCCTAGAATCACAAGCAGTACATGTGGGATCCTAGAATCACAAGCAGTACATGTGGGATCCTAGAATCACAAGCAGTACATGTGGGATCCTAGAATCACAAGCAGTTCATGTGGGATCCTAGAATCACAAGCAGTTCATGTGGGATCCTAGAATCACAAGCAGTTCATGTGGGATCCTAGAATCACAAGCAGTACATGTGGGATCCTAGAATCACAAGCAGTTCATGTGGGATCCTAGAATCACAAGCAGTTCATGTGGGATCCTAGAATCACAAGCAGTTCATGTGGGATCCTAGAATAGCAAGCAGTACATGTGGGATCCTAGAATAGCAAGCAGTACATGTGGGATCCTAGAATAGCAAGCAGTACATGTAGGATCTAGAGTTAGTGAGTGAGTGACTGAATTAAGGTTTATGCTGCTTGTAGCAATATACCAGCAATATCACAGCCGGCAATACCAGAAATGGGCTTCACACAATGCCCAATGTGATCTAGACTAGCAAGCACTACATATGGGATCTATAGTCCGTTTGTCTCAAAAGCGGACCGATGAATTGCAATCTAACCCGAAAACTAATAAACATATAACACTCAATGAAACGCTGATCATAATCAAAACATCAGACCAACTCTGTGATTTGTGTGCAGAATTTATGTCCTAAAATTAGGACACAGCCAGGTGTTAGAGAAGCATGTGCACAAGTGCCGAAAAATTTAAGGATTCATTAACCTGTGCTGTGCCATCTCCATCCTTTCTTGCACATCTGGCTGTCCCTTTGTCTGCACTCCTCCCTCGTGCAAAATAGTGAACTGTGTCAATATTTAAATGATAGTTTGTTAAACAACTTTTTTAATTTTAGGACATAAATTCTGCACACAAATCACAGAGTTGGTCTGATGTTTTGTTTATGATCAGCGTTTCATTGAGTATTATATGTTTATTAGTTTTCGAGTAAGATTGCAATTCATCGGTCCGCTTTTGAGCCAAACGCACTATAGAATAGTAAACAGTGCATATGGGACCAAGAATGGCAAGCAGTATATGAGATCTGGAATAGCAAGCAGTATATGGGATCTGGAATAGCAAGCAGTAGATATGGGACCTAGAACAGCAAGCAATATATGGAACCAAGAACAGCAAGCAATATATGGAACCAAGAATAGCAAGCAATATATGGGACCTAGAATAGCAAGTAGTACATATGTGATCTACAGTAGCAAGCAATACATGGGACATAGAACAGTAAGCAATATATGGGACCTAGAATAGCAAGTAGTACATATGTGATCTACTGTAGCAAGTAGTACATATGTGATCTACAGTAGCAAGCAATATATGTGATTCTAGAACAGCAACAAGTACACATGATTCTAGAAAAGCAAGCAGTAAATATGGGACCTAGAATAGCAAGTAGTACATATGTAATCTACAGTAGCAAGTAGTAAGTATGTGATCTACAGTAGCAAGCAATATATGTGATTCTAGAAAAGCAACAAGTACACGTGATTCTAGAAAAGCAAGCAGTATTCTTATGATTCAAGAATAGGAAGCAATGTGTGACTGATCAATCATTTAGCAAGCAGTAAATGGGTCCGTAAATAGCGAGCACTAAATGGGCGATCCCTAAATAGCCAGCAGTAAATGGGTTATCCCTAAATAGCAAGCAGTAAATGGCTGATCCCTAAAAATAAAGCAGTAAATGGCTGATCCCTAAAGAGCTAGCAGTAAATGGGTGATCCCTAAATAGCAAGCAGTAAATGGCTGATCCCTAAATAGCAAGCAGTAAATGGCTGATCCCTAAATAGCAAGCAGTAAATGGGTGATCCCTAAATAGCAAGCAGTAAATGGGTGATCCCTAAATAGCAAGCAGTAAATGGGTGATCCCTAAATAGCAAGCAGTAAATGGCTGATGATCCCTAAATAGCAAGCAGTAAATGGCTGATCCTAAATAGGAAGCAGTAAATGGCTGATCCCTAAATAGCAAGCAGTAAATGGCTGATCCCTAAATAGCAAGCAGTAATGATCCCTAAATAGCAAGCAGTAAATGGCTGATCCCTAAATAGCAAGCAGTAAATGGGTGATCCCTAAATAGCAAGCAGTAAATGGGTGATCCCTAAATAGCAAGCAGTAAATGGCTGATCCCTAAATAGCAAGCAGTAAATGGGTGATCCCTAAATAGCAAGCAGTAAATGGGTGATCCCTAAATAGCAAGCAGTAAATGGCTGATCCCTAAATAGCAAGCAGTAAATGGGTGATCCCTAATTAGAGAAAGCAGTAAATGGGTGATCCCTAAATAGCAAGCAGTAAATGGCTGATCCCTAAATAGCAAGCAGTAAATGGCTGATCCCTAAATAGCAAGCAGTAAATGGGTGATCCCTAAATAGCAAGCAGTAAATGGGTGATCCCTAAATAGCAAGCAGTAAATGGGCGATCCCTAAATAGGAAGCAGTAAATGGCTGATCCCTAAATAGCTACCAGTAAATGGGTGATCCCTAAATAGCAAGCAGTAAATGGCTGATCCCTAAATAGCAAGCAGTAAATGGGTGATCCCTAAATAGCAAGCAGTAAATGGGTGATCCCTAAATAGCAAGCAGTAAATGGGCGATCCCTAAATAGCAAGCAGTAAATGGGCGGTCCAAAAATAGAATATGTGTGATCCTGAAAAAGCAATTCATACACAAGTGATCCTAGAACAGCCAGCTGTAGACATGTTTATATAGTGAGGTGTGTATTGCAGGTGGTTGTTGGTCAGCTGTATGGTGAGGGCAGACTCATCATTGAAAGTAGAAGCAGCAAGTTCCCCCCTGGATAGACATCAAGTACCACTGGTCACTGCCATGAACAAACGGAGGAATGTGTGCAGACTGATTACTGATGGTCACCGCAGTGCTCGACAGGGTGTTGTGACACCTTGACACAGATTCAGGAATACAGAAAACACTGTTCAGCTGATAATAGTTGATGATTGATGAATGTTGTGAATTTGAGTTTGTTAGAATTTGTCTATGTAACAAATATATATGTATTTATAATAGAGGATGATCCCTGACTGCTTAGGTCAGGCCTGTAATCCTCCAGTGTGTAATGTTGGTATGTGTTCTGTATTCCAGATATACAGTCTAATGTAAGACTTTATAAAAATGTTTCTTGAAAAACTTTTACTTTCACAATTCTACTGAAAACAAAATGCATGAGTCAAGAATATTACTTATGTTTTTTGCCAAGCAGGAGTGAGTGAATAAGTGAGTTTAGTGTTACGCAGCACTCAGCAATATTCCAGCTACTGTATATGGTGGCGGTCTGTAAATAATTAAGTTTGGATCAGACAATCCAGTGATCAACAGTATGAGCATCAATCTTGCAATTGGGATACGATGAGCCTGACTACCTGATCCCATTGGTCACCTCTTACTTCCAAGCAGGAATACCCATGAACACAGAATATTGTTATCTGTACAATACAACTGGAGACAGTAATAGTGTACAACATTTTGGCAAATAAAAGTGCACTTACACTGGTCCCAAAGAAAACACTAAAACTCTGTATTCCCTCAACCTGTAGTGTCAACCAACGGCTGTTTAGTCTGACCACATGGCAGGTTTTTTTCGGACCTTGTGTGACAAGAATCCCTGTAGTGTGAACGAACAGGTACACTGGAACCACCTATAGTCAATAGTGTCTTCTCAGCAGCTTGACAAAAAATGTACAATAAGGAACAAATGTAACCAACATTAGTAACAAAACATTGAGGAAAACTTTCATGATATATCTCAGCCATTTTTGTTGCCCAAACACTTTATATTTCATTATTGAGTGCCCAATGTCTTCATTACCCTCCCCAAATATTTGTATTATTTTTATGAAATGAGAATATATAACAATTAGTAAACTTATGTTTTGCCACGACATTAAAACATATCAGGGGTGGTGAGGAAACCAATTGGTTACAGAGTGAGAGAGGAGGTTGGCCATTGGTTGTCTGTGACCATCAGGGTATGGGGTTGAGCAGGCACGGTCTTTTTCCTTCTGCCCAGCCTTCTCTGCAAGCGTCCTAAAAGAAACAAATTTATATTTAATCAGGTTCACTGGGGCTCCTTTTGAATTTAAATGGAGTTAACTGTTTCTGTCCAAATTATATGTTTTTATATGACAGAGAGTTTTATTCACATTGCACATGCTTTTCCGTAAAATCATCATGACACCCCCCCAGCCAGGGGGTCAACTTTTGTTACACAAACACAATTTCTCGTAATCTCCCTTCCCACTTCAGCGGCCCAAAATAGGACAGTTTGTAAAATTCACTTTGGACTGTCCAACAACTGTGTTATGTCTTACCTCACCTTTTAATTAGCCAGCTCATAAATACCACTCCTGTTGATTGTTGACACTTATGCGGGTTGTAACCACATGATCAATACTTTGCGATGATTTACAACCAGCCTTACAGACGTTTCTTGTAAAGGAAACCTTTAAGTTAGCGTCATCACTGTACGTGATTTTGCTAATTGTATAATTTCACTCAGTATGAATTAGCATACATGCAGCGATCTTTGTTAGTCGTCTCAGGATTTCGTGATTCTATGAGAAGGACAACAGCGCATCGACAATTATCAATTTCTAACCCATAAATGAATCTTGCATTGTTTCACAAAGCAATGCTATCTGTAACCAGAGACCATATAAAAAGATATGTGGTTTATGCTGTATCAAACTGTCATTCACAATACATGTATGCCCATTAACGACCCAGTTTTACAATCATGTCAGTAGATGAAAAGAAGTTAACTCATGTCTCGCAGACTTCATACAATCTCACCTCAGCATACCGAGATAGTCCAGGGACAAAATAAATTTGAAAAGAGCCTGTTAAACTTGTAAATCCACTTATCGGTTTACATCATGAAATGATATATTTTCTGAAAACATTTAATAGCGAAAGTTTAAAGCGATACCCGCCTCAAATATATCTTCTCGCGTGTTATACATACGAAGCTTGCAAAAGGGAGGTATTTAAAACTATCAGCTAGACAATCGGGCTGGTGGAGATTCTTTTCAGGCAGCCCGACAGGAAAATTGCCAGCCTCGGGCAGGCGGGCAGGCCATTGTTTTGATCACTGCATAGGTGGTGGTGGAATTGGGTTTAACGTCGTGCTTGAGAATATTTCGCTCATATGACGACGTGCATGCGTGTGTATGTGTATTTGCGGCTTCTTGTACTAGCCCAGACTTAAGCTGGTTTTATAGTGCTAGCCCACTGAGATACCATGCCGCAGTGAAGCATGAATACCCCACCCAGACACACTATACTGACCCCGAGTCGACCAGTGCTTGTTTTTTCCCTATTAATTCCGAGCGCCAGGCAGGGACCAACAAGTACCATATTTTAACGTCTTTTTGGTATGACGCGGTCGGGGATCGAACCCGCGCCCTTCCTCTCTCCGGGCGGACGCTCTAACCACTACACCACGGAGGCGGTCGATCACTGCATAAGGGACCGTTCATAATATATGGGTTTTGTGGTGTGCGTGTGTGTGTGTGATGATTTTTATTGAGAAGCATGTACAATGTGAATGACACCCCTCCCTCACTAAAATTTATGTACAAAGTAAGAGACCACTCCCACTTGCATGTGTACAAAATCAATGACACCACCACCCCGACCCCACCCTCCCCATCGTCACACACAACACTCACTTCCCATAATTTTTAAGCATTAGTATTTTAATATTTTCATGTACAATATTGCTGACCCCTTAAATAGAATGAAATAAATACCAAAATATAAATATTAAAACGGAAAACATTCCAACAAAAACAAACATTGATTGACATTATATCTTTATTACAAGGTGGACGTTGGGGTCTCTGTCACAATGAATAACACAGAGATGATGAATTCAAGTTTTCTTCACGGCAATGTACATTAGTAAATTAATGTCAAAACATGTGAACTGTGTTCAAGTGCAGTGACCGTTGCTGAAAATTACACCAAAGCAGACAACAAAAGACCCGACTCAAACTTTACTTCGACGTGAACGGTTCTGAGAATGTTACCGTGAGAGGACCGTTGTTTCACCTTGTCTTATTGAGCCTGCCGTACAGCTGGCTGGGTTGAAATCGATAGTGCTTGATGTAACATCGCTCTGTGTGAAACGGGGTATGTATGTGTGTTTGTTATTACAAATGTTGTATTATCACATGAAACATGCCTAGCTGTAGTCAGGCCGCGTTTCTAGCTCCAGCTTTCAGAGACCCTATATAATAGGATTATCATTATTATATGGTTTCTGCTGATATTTATATGATCGTTTCGGGTACGACGCTGTCATCTTACCACAACATTTACTTATACCTAGTGTTTTTTCATCGAACAAAACATATCACAGTGTCTCAAGGGAAATTGGCCACCGAACACAGCGATTATATTGAGTCATCAGCTGAGACTGAAATCCACGTGGCAATGTTTACATCTGGTACCCTTTGCCCTATTGACCTACAGGAGGTCAGGCTCTGTGACGTCACTTAACCTTAGTGATGTATTCACGGCCGTAAACTCAGTCGAATAACCTTCAGTGACTTTGTGAAGGAAGTATGTACCCTTCATTGTTGGAGGGTCACAGTGTGATACAGTATACAGTGGGGGAGCCACAGTGAACGGCTGTACAGTCTTAGAGGGAACATGACCGCCACAGCGAGCCGCGGCCGTGTGTATCAACAAACCCTCGTGCGAGTCGAGTGACCTTGAGACTGTCAGTCAGCTGGCTCAGTGACAGTAGCAAAACTGAGGATTATGAAATCACTAGCGGTGTCAGGTTTGTGGTGATGTTTCATTTGATTTCGTTCTTGAATGGAAGCTGATATAAGAAACATGTATTTTCTTACTCTTTCATACAGTAGTCACAATGCATTGTGACAGCGAGGATGACATGACTGTCTTTCTTCCGCGTAATCTTTCCTATGTGCGGGATAGCAGTTTGGACGAATATAGTGTCAGTTCGGCATTCGTGCAGAACCCTCGAGAACGCCTAAGAGACTGCATTGAGTGCAGTGAGTGCATGCATCTGTTGGAAGCGATGGCCGAGGAGGGGGGAGCCGCGAGCAAGCAGGAGATGCAGGACTATGGGTCGTCAGTGGACCCGGAGGAGAAACCAGTGACTGAGAGGCAAGCCTCATTAACAGAGACGGTGGGCTCGGATACTCCCAGTGAAGAAGGTATTTTCGTGAATGTAATCGATGATGAGTTGGATCATTTTGCGAGTGCTATAAATGGTGGGCACGAGATCGACGATCATTCTGGTGACTCTGTTTACAGTCCCGATGGCTCTGACCTTGGAGATACACAGGAAGGTCATAAAGAGCGACTCGAGGAAGCTGTAAAAACAATTGCTAACTCAGATTTTATTGCTAAACCTGAACTCAAAATAAAGATAAACGATCGACCATTTCTGGAAACAACAACCGAGGAAGCTTTCCTGAAGTTTGTATCTTCTAAAAGTCCCGTGTATGAAGATAAGGAATTTAACTTTTCGCGTAGTGAGTTAAGGAAGTCATCTTCTCTCAAGACTAACAAAACTCCCCCCGGTACACCGAGCAGAAAGAAAGTTGTCCGTTTTGCGGACGCCATGGGGTTGGATCTAGAATGTGTGAGGAACATTGTCAACGTAGACACCCCGCCCAAAGTGCCCGCGTCTGCCCTGGCGGACCTGCGGGTCGGACTTGAGGAGGACAGACGTGGAATGGGGAGCAGGTTTCTCACTGCCTGCTTTTCCCAACCAGGGGCGTCAGAAAACTTCATGAAGAAGGTTCTTGCTCAAAAGGTTAGTTTGGAGAATGCCGTCATTACAGGGATGACAATTACAGGGGTGATTCGAGTTGCGAACATTTCCTTCAACAAAATGGTGCGTGTGCGTTACAGCACTAACAACTGGGCCACCTTTCACGACATAGCTGCGTCTTATGTGCAGAACTCATGCGACGGACCCACAGATAGGTTCTCCTTCAGTATTGTGGCGCCAGCCAATTTCGACGTGGGATCCAGGTTAGAGTTCGCCGTGTCCTATGCTGCCAGCTGTACCGTTTTCTGGGACAACAATGAGGGAAGGAACTATGTATTTGAGTGTTTTGCAAAGACCGTCCCAACAGAGGCAGAGAATTCTTGGATGCACTTTTTGTAAGTGATAATTGACCGAATGTGTTGAGGTGGTATATATGCTTCTCACATCGTTGACCATGTTGGTTATAAGTGTAGACATTGATCAAACGCTCTAATATAAGAATGTAATTTCCTATTGTGACATGTGAGATGATCTGATTTGGTACCGTTATGACCGTTAAGGTAGAGGATGAATAGATTCATATGCTGTTTATGTTACATAATATACAAATATATAATATGTATGGGTGTATCTGTATTTGGTATGTTCTGTTGAGTTTCCTGATATGGAATATTTTCATGTGGTAAAGATGTTTGATGTTTATCACATTTCTCTCTCACTGCTAGATAACAGTGTAGAATATCCACTTGCATATTATTGTAAGATAGTTTGATCGTTTGCTTAAGGGTACACATTAGTAAATAACAACATAGTAATACCCCGAGTCTTGTATATGTGTATTTGCCCCTGCTATTATGTATATACTGTATTACAGACAGTGGGTTGGCCATGTATCTAACTGATGAACAATGTCATGTCAGAGCCTGTCAAGAGGGCGGGGTAATGCCGCTACCTGTTCCACAGATAACTTGCTGTTTCAGCCGATCAGTAATACACTTGTCATGTACACTATTGGCATATTGAAGTGCTGACCGCTCGATAATATACCAGTACCAGTCCACCTGTGACTAGACATCGCCTGAACAGTGTCCATATAGGTTATCCTTGTCTGTATCCACTGTGTGCTGCAGTTCCTTTGAAGACATGGTAGGCCTTGTAACTGCACAGGGCGTGTCGTACAGTAATAGCATGATGTAATAGCTTGTGTCGAGTGCTCCTACCCCACCTCAAGGGTTAAATCACGTCAGTCTCTGGTGGATTCTATTTACCGATTACGGAATCCTAGCTTTATAGAGGACGTAAAATGCGAGGGTCTGTCAAGTGTTACTATAGCTACTGTTATACACCTGTCTGCATGAGCTACACAGTGAATGCCCTGCCAACAGAAGGTAGACTGGTACGCTGCGAAGTACATGCCGCCGCCGCTGCTATAAATAGGCGCACGTTTTGTACTGGACGCCAGAGTACGAGCGGTACAGCTGAATGTACCATGCAAGGTTTATTGTAAGGGACTGCCTCTCGAGACACCTTCATGAAAGGACACCAGGTGTTCCAGCTATTGGGAAGGCCGTCACTGGCAATACAAATCAAGGACTATGTGCAAAGTTGAAATTAAAAAAAGGTTGCCACAGCACTCACTAGCTAGCCACCAGTTGTAAACAGTATCATCAGGCATTGTATATCAATCCAGATAATAGCTTTTGTATATGTTTGCCATGGAAACCAAAATGATTTCCAAAAGAAATGGTCCTGTGACCATAAGGAGAAAATGGTGGAAGTATTGTCCAAGTTGTTCCAATTATTATGATTGGATGTTTATCATGATTAGGAAATTTGGTGACTATATCGTAATAAGTGTGTTTTTGTCTACTTTTTCCAATAATCTATGACGCCAGTTTGGTGTACATTTAACTATTGAACCCCTGAAGGTCCGGGTTAGAACTGATCTTCAGTAACCCATGCTTGTCGTAAGAGGCGACTAACGGATTCGGGTGGTCAGGCTTGCTGACTGGGTTGACACATGTCATCGTATCCCAATTGCGTAGATCGATGTTTATGCTGTTGATCCCTGGATTGTCTGGTCCAGACTCGATTATTTAGAGACCGCTGCCAAAAAAGCTGGAATATTGCTGAGTGCGGCGTAAAACTAAACTCACTCACTCATTTAACTACTGCCCCGAACTAACGTCATTAAGATGTTATATATAACTAAAGGGAGCTACTAAGCATTTCGTAGGTGACCAAGTAAAGTTCATCGAACCATATTTTTGAAAGTACAGTGTGATGTAGAATGTAAGTTTTTTAGACTTACAAAACATGGACTATTTTATTTGGGGATACTTGAAGTATTTTATAACAAAGTGTATAATTTTAATGATGGTCCTCAATTTTGACTCACTTTAGTTTCTTCCATATTTAATTCGATTAACTTTTATCGAAGTGTATCACTTGTCCATGGCAATACATCGGCAACAATTGTGATGCCCCAACCTGTCGATAGTACATGTGGATTCCATCCAGAAAAAGTTCATTTATATTTTTATGAAACCAAGTTCATTTATAAGCACATCCCACTCATATGGGATAATGAAGGGAAGATACGCTGAATGACGGTAAATACTTGCATATGTTCTAAACAGTGGGGCGGTGGGGTAGCCATGGTTAAAGCGTTCGCTCGTCACACCGAAGGCACGGGTCGATTCCCACATGGGTACTATGTGTGAAGCCAATTTTGGTGCGCCCCCGCAGTGATATTGCTGGGATATTGCTATAAGCGGGCTAAAACCCACCTAACGTGGCAGTGGTTGTAAGAAGACTGCGGCAGAAGCACTGTTATAACTAGTTGCAATACTAATGCAACAGGTGTATCCCCGCTTCCCTTAGTCACCGTGAATCGGCAAATATTAGGGTTATTCTTAACCTGTGAACACAAAGTGCCGTATTCCTGTCTTATTATAACCCTTTATATTTGGTGTATGTGACAGCACGGTGGAATGTATGAACGTTCCACAAGGTTGACTTCATGTTCTGTCTCAGTGAGAAACAATTATGTACACAGTGTTCTGTCTCAGTGAGAAACAATTTTGTAGACAGTGTTCTGTCTCAGTGAGAAACAATTATGTAGACAGTGTTCTGTTGTATGGACAAATCTGTTGAATGGAAAGATCGGGGAGGTAGGTGGCCGCCTGGTCGCCTCGTATTCGGACAAGGTAACATTTGGTATTTGTGTTTCCCAGATAGTTCATCGGAATTAAGCAGGTAGAAGAAGGGGACTGGTCAGTTCAGAGGCAGTATACCCAGTTGGGTGGCCGTGCTATACTGGGGCATGTTATCTTAGTGACTTAACACTATAAAACCACCGGCATTACTCCATACTGGTACAGGCGGCCACAATGCACGTCACAAGGGAAGTGCACTGATCTTGAACGGTCCCATTTCACTTCACCTTACAGCTGCCACGCTTTCTTTTGAACTCATTTCTTGTGAGTGACAGTGCCTTGGTGATTGTCCACGTCTTCTCTCCGGAGGCAATCATCGGAGGTGCAAAGTAGAGCCACCATTTAGCTTTACTGAAATGTCGCTTGAAAAAGCAACATTATATATATTTAATGTTCTATTAATGCCAACTTGCCAGAGGTGTGCGTCAATGAGAAGGAGGTTTAAGGGCATACAGTTTGGCCGTGTTACTGTACACGAGGCGGCTCGTGGACATTGGCAGTTGTTTTCGTAATGTCTGCCTTGTCTACAAAGACAATCGTGACAGACAAATTGCAGTGTCTTGCCAGAAATCATGATATTTGTGTATATATTGGCTTCAGCCTCACACGGCTTTGGTTTCGTGGACTTGATGTGTTGTAGTTCGATAGTTTCATGCGAACATGAGGTGTTTGAATGTTCTGATTCCAAATGATTTCCGACAACTAACCCTTGCCTTACGGAATGGGTTGAGAAGTTTTTATCATGATAAACAAGTGATGAAAGGGTACAGTTATCATGATACACATGTATACCAATACTGAAAGGCTACACTATTTTCATGATATAGCAGTGGTGAAACAAATTCAGGGTATCCCTTGTGGCGGAGAGGCAATCGTGGCGGCAAGTCGGTGTTGTCGTGGTAGGGATGGTGTTTTGATGGCGTCAAAGTAGACGTGACGGGTTGGTTTCTTCGCTGGGAAACAGCTGTTCATTACCATGTTTCAGAACAGGTCATGCACACATACAATGCGGTTTCATGATCGTACAGAAATAGTGGAAAGTTGATACGTACATGCTGTGACGCCATGCCAAGATTGTTATGACTTACGTTTCAGAGCGGGTGTTGAGCCAGACCCGAGGCCTGAGTCATCTGTTCATCTGCAGGTCCCCTCCTGTTGACAACAGAGGCCGCCCTTGCAGTAAGCAGGTCCGTGGTGACTGCATGGCGTGACTGATAGCCCTAACCCCTTTAATGTGCAGATGTGTACTAATGACAGACAATATCCCTTGTAACGGCTCTGCTTTCTTGGACAACTTTCGCATATCACAGGAGCATGTGAACACGTGAAATACTCCCACCGCTTTATATATTCATGTGTGTGTGTGCGCGCGTGCGTGCGTGTGCGTGTGAGCGTGTGGGTTTTTTTTGGTGGTAATCGGCGTATTGGATGGAAAACTGAAAAATATGCTGGCGGATAGGGAAAGAAATGTTCTTTGAAGGTTGGGGGCATACCTGCAACTGCCGGACGTACATCTGTATGGACGTTTTCAAGCATTTGGGTTATGTGTGACCTTGTTAAAATCCTTCTACACTTGCCAGGGATGTATAGCAGTTACCTCCCCTGCCGTGCTTCCCAAATTGTTTGGTGCTGTTCGTCCTGTTTGGAGGAGAGTCACAGCAGTGCCCACCATTTCATTCTCTACGTAATTCTTCATGTATTCAGTCGCCGTTAATCTGTGTAATTAAACAACTGATACGTGAACCGTTGTTTTCAATCCAAGGCGGTTAATCCGGAAATTATATAAATCAGGTTCTTAAAGTTGCTGTAGTTTAAGGGTGTGACTGAAAACTTTGTTGGGTTTGAAAAGCTATTAAATCCGCTAGTACCGTGACTTCTGACCCCAGTCCCAATATGCCCACAGTATGGTTTGATGCTGAAAACTGGATGCTTGAAATACCTTGACTAGGGACCTATTTACTTAATACAGGGTAGACCTGTCCATACTGATCTAACAGTGGAATCCCATTGGGAAATAGAAACACATGTTTATTGAAAAAAACATTTGAAACCTTAACGAGTGTTCATGTTGTATTGTCAGCAAGCAACAATTTAAACATAGCGATGCTAATATTGCATACATAGCATTACAGAACACCATCGGCGTTATCTATCGGAAATAAGACCAGTTCCTAATGGGACTAAAACCGTTTTAGTAACCCAAGTAGGGGACTAGGCAGGTGACCAACCATCATACCTCACTCACTGTTGTGTTGGGATCTTTGCCACAATATAACCAGCTAGTACACGGTGTGGTAATGAGTTATGACAAACTGTTGTAGCTGACGATTGACAGTGCTGGTCGGAGACTATACAAGGGTTCCTGACCGGTTATACTTGGGTGAAGTACTTGGCAGTAAGTAGGTTTCATACTTAGCCATACTGTTGTGCTATGAAACGAATTCGAGTACACTATGATAAATCTTGTCGTTAAAGCCAGAATAATAAGGTATACATATCGTTGTATTTAACTGTGCTGTGAAATCGAACCAGTTCGTATTAAGACAGTTTGTTGTTTCTGCTGTTTCCTTAGTACTCTTTGTATTGAGGGTTTTCTTCTTGTTATCTTCTTGTTGAATCTGCTTGACGAGTTGTTGATGGCGGACCCGGCATCCTGCGACATCCCGTCCTCAACCCCATCCTGTGCAATATCACAGCATCTATTGACATTTATATCATGGTGTTGACTCTTGCATAATATTAGTCTTATTGGTATGTTTGTTGTTGAACAACTAATCTTTGTCTTATTAATGGAGAAACCCCTTTTGTTTCCATGTATGTTTTTTGTTGCTTGTATTATTGTTAAATCAGGATCTCGTGAATTCATCCTTTGCCTATAAATAATCTCGGCCTCTAGGAACCAGAGTATATAGGTATTTACCGTTAACGCTATTATAGTTATCTATGTTCACGTTATCATTGTTGAAGATGCGTCAAGAATTACGTTCAGCCGAGTGTGTACAAGTACCAGTTTGTTACTATTTATAAAAAACTCACTCAGCACATTGCAGCTATCACTATGTGTGATGTATCACCGATGTTTTATATCTTTCACCTCACCAGACCGACGGTCATGTGAGCTTTTGTTGATCCTCCTTGGTATGGCATAGTCTTCATTGTTTACAGCATTATGAATTATTACCGTGGTTCAACCTTTACACCACACCGCTCTCTAGCCTGCCACCATGTTACATCAAATTATCTGCTGTGGGTATGGATCTTTTGCACCAGTTTTTCTTTAACTAAACATTATGTCTGTATCAAAACAACGTTGAACTGTCAGTTCACTGACTGTTCTGATGTGGTGAGCTACAGAGCTTTGTTGCTTAATTTCTGTACAGTATATTTCTTCTTTTCATATTTCCGGTAACTCCTTGCAGAATGTTTCACTGAGGCGACACGACTCAGTGTAGTGACCCTTAGTGCAAGCATCCATGATTTGCCACACATAGTGTTGTGGTCATGGCTTTTCACCCAACATGTGTATGTGGGGTAGGAGAAGGTGAATGGAAAACTAGAATCTCATTTCTTGCTCCAGGAAAATATTCACCGTTATATGAAACCGTTATTTTTGGAATAACATATATTGTGCTGTGTTAATTCAGTAACTGTAGACACGAAGAGGAAGATGCTAACAACATGAGATAACGGAGGGTCCGGGCTAGAAGGATATACAACTATAGACATTATTGATTACATGAACGTTTGAATGTTTTGTGATATACTGAGTCTGCAAGATATACCTGGAAGGTAATTCCTCTTGTGCGAGTGTCATTCTGTGTATCCATTCAATCTATAAATCTATGTTTGACTGTGATACTAACGTTCGACTTGGGATGGTGCGATCAGGATGCTATATTTTCACTTGGAATTGTTTTTGTTGCTCTCAGCTGTGATACAGTGTCTGGTATGGTTTACAAAGGACTGTTGGACATGCTTTCCCGTGTGAAACACGTATCACTGTTCTCGCTATTATATCATGTGCGTGTGAGGACATGGCTGCCTATGTGTCACCACTACTGGAGGAGGAGGAGGAGGTCTCAAGCATGCAGTGAGAGCCACTGTATCTGTGTCACAAAGAATGCCGGCATTGTAAATGTTCCTCACTCCCCATACATCCTACACTATTAAGTAAGAGGTTATACATGTTGAACAGTGCCAGGAAATGGGTTATTGCACCAAGTACTAGTACTTTGGTATGTGAGACCGGCAGTTGCCGTTCTCCAACACTGCAATCAATAAAACTGTTTGTTGAATTACGTGTCTTTGTGTTGTGTTGACGTTTGCAGTTGCACCAGCAGCGGTTTTATGCAATTGTGATTGTTAACCACGAAATAATAATGAGCAATACACACCTTATAATTACATATCTAATCGTCCGCATGTAGAGTGAAAAGAATGAATGAATCCGGTATGTGTTTGCTTAAGGTACGCGAGTGACGTGACGTATGTATGCTGATCACAGTCCACGTCAGACCACACAGACGGGTTACATTTTGCAGCAGATCCGGCCTTTCACTAACATTGTATTGCGAGGTATTTCTATTTTATTTGGCCCTGTGCATTTGTAAAATAACAAATACATTCATATACATGATAGATATAAACAAGGTTATCGCTTTCTCAGCCAAACAACAACGAACGTTTTCATGACGCTTCCAAGGACTACCTCCTCACAATCACAACGCATACTACCTTAAAGGATAGTGTGGGAGGTAGAGCCGTGCCCTGCATGGATGAGAGGATAGTGTGGGAGGTAGAGCTGTGCCCTGTATGGATGAGAGGATAGTGTGGGAGGTAGAGCCGTGCCCTGTATGGATGAGAGGATAGTGTGGGAGGTAGAGCCGTGCCCTGTATGGATGAGAGGATAGTGTGGGAGGTAGAGACGTGCCCTGTATGGATGAGAGGATAGTGTGGGAGGTAGAGCCGTGCCCTGTATGGATGAGAGGATATTGTGGGAGGTAGAGCCGTGCCCTGTATGAATGAGAGGATAGTGTGGGAGGTAGAGCTTAGTGTTGGGAATTGGTTGAAATCTCACAATTGATGATTTCTTCATTACCAACGAACAATCATCGAAAAAAATTGGTTAGCGTCATTTTTCAGATTTTCCTATCCAGGTTGTAATTACAGATATGTATAACATGATGCAACTTTGCTACTTTAAAGTGATGACTGATATATCATGAACATAAACTTCCTGGAGTCTTAGAGAAATATTCAGTCATGACTTTTCAGATAGTGAAGTGAATTAAACACGTTTTCAGGCCCTGACAGCTTCTAAGATATGTTCCATTGTCAAGTATTTCAAAGACTAAAACTGACTGACTGAGTTTGGTTTTACGCCGCTTTTAGCAATATTCCAGCAATATCACGGCGGGGAACACCAGAAATGGGCTTCACACATTGTACCCATGTGGGGAATCGAACCCGGGTCTTCGGCGTGACGAGCCAACGCTTTAACCACAAGGCCACCCCACCGCCCTCAAAGACTAAAACAGTAGTTCCAAAATCGTTTATGTTCAATAATGAGAAAATGTGATCGATTGCTTGGTCGTTTGGTCACTGCGACCAATCTCCGATTATTTCAATTAATCGGAACACCACTAGTAGAGCCGTGCCCTGCATGGATGAGAGGATAGTGTGGGAAGTAGAGCCGTGCCCTGTATGGATGAGAGGATAGTGTGGGAGGTAGAGACGTGCCCTGTATGGATGAGAGGATAGTGTGGGAAGTAGAGCCGTGCCCTGCATGGATGAGAGGATAGTGTGGGAGGTAGAGCTGTGCCCTGCATGGATGAGAGGATAGTGTGGAAGGTAGAGCCGTGCCCTGTATGGATGAGAGGATAGTGTGGGAGGTAGAGCCGTGCCCTGTATGGATGAGAGGATAGTGTGGGAAGTAGAGCCGTGCCCTGTATGGATGAGAGGATAGTGTGGGAAGTAGAGCCGTGCCCTGCATGGATGAGAGGATAGTGGGAGGTAGAGACGTGCCCTGCATGGACGATGGAGGATAGTGTGTGGAAGTAGAGCCATGCCCTGTATGGATGAGAGGATAGTGTGTGGTGGCAACTAGAGCCGTGCACTGTATGGATGAGAGGATAGTGTGGGAAGTAGAGCCGTGCCCTGTATGGATGAGAGGATAGTGTGGGAGGTAGAGACGTGCCCTGCATGGACGAGAGGATGGGTGTGTGGAAGTAGAGCCCTGTATGGATGAGGAGGATAGTGTGGAGGTGAGACGTGCCCTGCATGGATGAGAGGATAGTGTGGGAAGTGCCCCAAAATGGATGAGAGGATAGTGTGGGAGGTAGAGCCGTGCCCTGCATGGATGAGAGGATAGTGTGGGAAGTAGAGACGTGTGCCCATGGATGGATAGTGTGGGAGGAGAGGATAGATAGTGGAAGGCTGAGGCCCTGTGTATGGTGAGAGACGTGCCCTGTATGGATGAGAGAGGATAGAGGTGAGGAGACGTGCCCTGCATGGATGAGAGGATAGTGTGGAGGTAGAGACGTGCCCTGTATGGATGAGAGGATAGTGTGGAAGGTAGAGACGTGCCCTGCATGGATGAGAGGATAGTGTGGAAGGTAGAGCCGTGCCCTGTATGGATGAGAGGATAGTGTGGGAGGTAGAGCCGTGCCCTGCATGGATGAGAGGATAGTGTGGAAGGTAGAGCCGTGCCCTGCATGGATGAGAGGAGTGTAGCAGAGACGTGCCCTGTGGATGAGGATAGTGGAAGGTGGAGCCGTGCCCTGCATGGATGAGAGGATAGTGTGGGAGGTAGAGCCGTGCCCTGTATGGATGAGAGGATAGTGTGGAAGGCGGAGACGTGCCCTGCATGGACGAGAGGATAGTGTGGTAAGTAGAGCCGTTTGTAGCGACCAGAACTGGGATACGACCAGAACTGGGATAAACAGTCCACAATTTCGTAAAACCCTATTTACTGCAGTACTGCTCCCGGTTAACTTTGCGCGGAATATGATTTAGTTAATGTTTTTGTGAGGAGACACTGAAAATTATCAGTTACATATTTCCATATTCCTCTGCAAATATGTAGCTAACATTTAATTTTCCAATATAGGCTGGAAGCACCTTAAGAGTTTCTAATTATTTTTGTACTCGTCAGTTATTCAATCGTTTATATCGTGTGGCAATTCCCACTCAAGCAAACCTCTCATGGTGTACGACGTTTCATTTTCATTAACTGTGTTGTTTTATAATGCAAGCATCATGTAATTTACATCACGTAATAAATATCATATAATCGGCCACGTTAATGGAAATAGTTCAAACACCCCATTGTGTTCTGAAATAATTCTGATTTTGTCGTAATTTGCTATGTAACTGTGAAAAAATGTCTGTATTCAGGTGTTTGTGACCGAATTTGCTGCATTTATACATGATCCTTACTTTAAGTTGGTTGCATAGTTCAGCTGTATTGGGTACGGCTCAAAGCTGAAGCGAAACAAATCACATTTGGGGACCGTTTATAATTATGGCTGGGGGTGTGGGGAGATGATGATTTTAGGGAGATAGAGAGAGAGAGCAATTTTGTACGTGACAAATTTTAAAACGATGCTTAAACATTATGGGAATAGTGGGGCCGGGGTTGGCGGTCATTGATTTTGTACTTTACATGCTGCATGGGGGTGTCACTTACTTTGTAAATAAATTGTAAGGAGTGGGTCATTCACGTTGCACATGCTTCTCCATAAAGATCAGCATCACACCCCATCAATTATGAACTATCCCTTAGATAAAAGTGTTGAAAACAAAATATTGTAATTATCATTCAAGCTGAAAGGCGTGTGTGTGTGTGTGTGTGTGTGTGTGTGTGTGTGTGTGTGTGTGTGTGTGTGTGTGTGTCGGATATATAACTTCCATCACAGAGAATGAAAGGAGGGAAGGGCGTATATAGGATATGTTAATAGAAGAGGCCAAACCTTTTCCACGTCGATAAGTAATATCTACTAAAAGCAGAGTCGAATGTACAATTCTGACTATATCATGAGCATGTATTTGTTTCAGCAGTATTACAGGTGTGCGATGTTGTTGGTAAACAGTCATTGATTGTCATCATACGACATCTCACAGAATGAAAGTCGGGAAGAGTGTATATATCGGATATATAACTGACACCACACAGAATGAAAGTCGGGAAGGGTATATCGGATATAAAACTTACACCACACAGAATGAAAGTCGGGAAGGGTATATCGGATATATAACTTACACCTCACAGAATGAAAGGCGGGAAGGGTATATCGGATATATAACTTACACCACATGGAATGAAAGGCGGGAAGGGTAAATCGGATATAAAACTAACCCACACAGAATGAGAGACGGGAAGGGTTTATCGGATATATAACTTACACCTCACAGAATGAAAATCGGGAAGGGTCTATCGGATATATAACTTACACCATACAGAATGAAAAGGCGGGAGGGGTATATCGGATATATAACTTACACCACACAGAATAAAAGTCGGGAAGGGTATATCGGATATATAACTTACACCATACAGAATGAAAGTCGGGAAGGGTATATCGGATATATAACTTACACCATACAGAATGAAAAGTCGGGAAGGGTATATCGGATATATAACTTACACCTCACAGAATGAAAGTCGGGAAGGGTATATCGGATATATAACTTACACCTCACAGAATGAAAGTCGGGAAGGGTATATCGGATATATAACTTACACCTCACAGAAGAATGAAAGGCGGGAAGGGTATATCGGATATATAACTTACACCCTCACAGAATGAAAGGCGGGAAGGGTATATCGGATATATAACTTACACCCTCACAGAATGAAAGACGGGAAGGGTGTATCGGATATATAACTTACACCCTCACAGAATGAAAGGCGGGAAGGGTATATCGGATATATAACTTACACCTCACAGAATAAAAGGCGGAAGGGTATATCGGATATATAACTTACACCTCACAGAATGAAAGTCGGGAAGGTATATATCGGATATATAACTTACACCTATACAGAATGAAAAGCGGGAAGGGTATATCGGATATATAACTTACACCTCACAGAATGAAAGGCGGGAAGGGTATATCGGATATATAACTTACACCTCACAGAATGAAAGGCGGGAAGGGTATATCGGATATATAACTTACACCATACAGAATGAAAAGCGGGAAGGGTATATCGGATATATAACTTACACCTCACAGAATGAAAGACGGGAAGGGTATATCGGATATATAACTTACACCATACAGAATGAAAGGC